GCAGGGCATACAAAGCCCATCACTAAACATGCTCTTTCAAAAGGTAACTCAAAAAGGTATTGACATGATCAGTGGAGTTCCTGTGCAAGGTTTGCACTTATTCTTTATAGTCTATTTATTGGTACACAGAGACCTGAGTGGGCTTTGTGCCCAAGGAAGAATATTACCCCTCAGGGGATATGGAACTAACAACCTCATAATGCATTAGAGCCAAAACCAGGCAGAGTACACTGGGCCAAATGCACCCTGACTGGAAATCCCGCAATTTGAGAAGTCTACAACACACATGAATTTGAACAAATGCACTTTAAATTTAGAATAGATGCCAAGTAGTAACCATTCCCATGTGAAAATAGCTAATACATCTCTTGGAGACCAGTATGTTCCAGTGAAGTGCATGAACTTAAGGATTTTTTATTTTCCAGGTGAATAATGCAAGAATAAATTAAAAGCAGAAAATCTTGATAAGTGCTACAAGGACATCTGTGCTCCAAAAACATCTATCCCCATCTTCTCTGGCTCCCTTTAGCAACACCTTCTTCCTCACTAAACTCACTTTCAAAGTTTTTCAAAGAAACAAGTTGCTGCCAAGCCTGGTATCTGCAGCCAGGCAAAGTTTTTTTATACTACAGTCACTTAAAGTATGTATTGTAGCTTTGTTAAATACAGGAAGACTGCCCAAAAAACTGTTCCTACCCAGTTTACACAAAACAGTGAGCTCCGGGTTCTTTATCTTTGTTTTGTCTTTAAAATTCACCTCTGAATATATTGCTTCCAAATTCCACATGAGAATTTTCAGCCAAACTGAAAAGTCTGCAAACTGTGAGGTCTTACAGTTAGCAAATACCGAAATCCAGGGTCAGCTTTTCCAAAAAGGCTTCTGGAGCACTTAAGAGTGCTTCTGACTTTAATAGGGCCTTTTGTTTTAGCCTTCACTGACATCAGTAGGTCCCTAGTGACTTGGGGTCTCTCTACCCGAAGTTGTAGACTTGGTGTTGTAGGCTTAAAGGCCTGGACTTGCAGTTCTCCAAGTGTCTCTTTTCCCAGATAAAATACAAGTATTTACCAAGACCTTTGAGAGATCTTGCATTTGCATCTAAATCCAAACTTGAGATCCCCAAACTCCTGTTCAAAAACTTCATACCCTGCAAGTGTCTAAGATTTTTAGTGCTCGCCAGCAAAGTTCCCTGGACATCTACATTCATGCTCAGATTAGGTGCTACCTCCTCCTTCCAGATGCTGTTAGACATTACCAGCATCACCAAAGGAACATAGTCTGGACTGGGAATGGTAGACAGAGGAAGGTGCTTCTCTGAAAGCAGGTTTAGTGGCCTAATTATGAAATCAGAGGAGAGATTACTGCTGCAACCTCATCTCGGGTTCTCCTGTTGATCAATCTATGCAACTTCCATATTCACAAACTCCTTGTGTTATACAACCCATTTGTGGGTGCGTATGTTTCGTCACGAGTTGTCAAGGAAGAAACCATTAATTAATACCATGTGGATAAAGACCAAAGCCAGTAATTACTCCGTTAAATACTTTTGATATGGAATTATTCTGCAGAGGGTACAGTTGGGGGTGAGCTGGTACTATGACTTTCCCAAAAGCACAGAAACCTAAAGATGGGTGTAAGCCAGATGTACTCTTCTTTATACTGCAGTGAAGGCTCCAAGTTGCCAGGAGTTTGTCAGATCTATCCAGATGGAAGATTTCTCCACTGGGGTGAAAGATGATGTCCTGAGACAGCTTTCAGCCATGACATTCACTGCTCATTAGAGACAACACGCGTTTTATCCTAATTTTCAGCTGCTCAAATGTTCACAGGAGACTGAAAACATATGAACTGCTTGTGTCTAAGCCAAAACTTTAAGATCTGAATACAAGAGTGGGGCTGACCCTGGAGGTCTAACATGATCATTTCCATCAGCTACATCTTTTTCCTTTCTTCGTGTACCTATTACTTGTCTCTAACATCAGTGGGGAACTGCTTGCTTAGAAATACCGGTATGGGTAGGTCTTCACAGACAATGACATAATTCTTGTATCACTCAACTTTTATAGTGAAACATTTTAAATAATCAGAAATGCCACCATGCTACAGATGTGTTTTCATCATTATTTTTCCTTCTCCATTTCTAAATACACAGATCAGTCTGATGTTCATAAAAACTGGAGACAAACTGTAAGACTGTGTCCTTGGATGCATCTCCATGGATTCTGGAGTCTGGCTTCTGGTGACAAACGGACTTTTGTGTACAGCACCCCATTCAACTTTGCCAACACATTTCTTGCTCCCCACTAACTTATGATGTCACTTGGAGCAAAACGCATCTCAATATCTTACTTTTATTACAGTAACTGTGTTGCAAAGCTGAAAATAAAAGCAGCAGTACCCTGGCTTCTCAGCTGCTACATAAAGAAGAGCTGCATTAGTTTATGCCAGCTGAGGATGTGGTTCAAGCTGTTTGGGGTGTTTGAGTTTGTTGGGGTTTTTCCCCCCGGAAACTGTTTGCTGCAATCTCAAGGACATTAGAAAAATGTTAACATCAGCCAGTTGGGGGCAGGAGTGAAAAAAATCCCTGAAAATTCAATATAGTTGCAGAGCATTTTTTGTTTTTTTCATTAACTGATATTCTCAGGTTACCAGAAAGGAATTCATTGTACTTCTCCGCTGCTAGTGAAACTAGAGAGTGAAAGATTTTAGAATAAATGGCCAAGCTGAAAACTAGTAGTGCTTGTGCTGGGGTTTGGGCCTTTACAAATTCAAGGCTGATTAGACATCTCTTTCCTGGTCCTCAGCAGTAAGAATAGGAAGTGAGGGAATTCATTGTCTTCAGCTTGCCACTGCTGGCTTGCTCCAATAGCTATACATCATAAAAAGGACTGACAAGCTCAAAATGTCCATGTCAATCTGCAGCTGCCTTTAACCATATACAGATTTACAAGACACCCTCTCCATACCCCCTTTGGAGATCTAGAAACCGTACTTTGTTTTGACTTGACATACATTTTTCCATTTAAGTTTAAGAAGTATGAGCCCTATTAGACTGCATTGCAGCTACAAAGCAAAAGGGGTAAAGCTCTGCCTGAAATGGAGGAAATGATGATGTAATTTTGAACTGTTAAGGACTGAAGGTATTAAAAGATTTGGAGTAGGATTTGGAAAGTCTCTGGTGTTACGTACAAGTAGGGCTGTATTGCCTGCCTCACCATATGGACAGTGAAGGTCTTTTTCCTATTTACCAGTTTGGGGGTTGTTGTTATAGCTGCGCAACTCATGAGCACCATGGCACTTAATAATCCATCATCATTTCCATCATAAACCCTTTTTTTCCCTTGAGGGACTACAAGGTCATGTAAATATTTGCTGCAGGGTAAAGCTTGCCACTAAGGTCTGGTCTCAGGCCTAAGAGCAGCAGGAACATGAGGCAGGATCAGGCTTGGAAGCTTTCCACCTTCTAGTAACATTACACTTACCTCATTTTCTAAAATGAGCATTTCTAGCCATTATCAACAACCATGGACCAAAGGCTGATGCTCCTTTTCCATGGGTTTGGACAGCTTGATGTCCAGTCCAGTCCCATCTCATCTATGCAACTGACCAGTTTCACGGCAGGACATGTGCCCTGGGTGATCCTGGCCAGCCACATGTCGCATGAGGGGCTATATAGAACCTCACCAGGCTCCACAGCATGCTGTTTTAGCTGCATGCTGGCTCCACATTGCTAATGACTCCAGGCAGCTGGCCTCTTGATTCAGTTTCGTGCTTTCTGGTGCGCCAAGCAGGAGCTGTATTAACAGGAAAGTGACTGTTTTCCCTCAGCCATTCTGCCCTTACAAAAGGGAACAGAGATAAAGTCATTGTGTGCCGTAGAAACTGTACTATTGTTCTGTACTGCCAAAGTCCTATAGCTGTTCCTTGCAGCCCTATCTTCCTGCAGTTCAATAATATTTGGGATCTAGCTAGTTGTTTCCATTAAGAGAAGTTCACCTTAATTCTTTCTAAACTCCATAATCAAAACCCCTTTATGAATTCAAATCCTCTTTATTAACCCAATCTAGTTCCTCTGAGCAAAGCAGGAATCAAGTAATGTGGGGCAACATCTGGCCGTATTGCAAACAACTGCTCAGCTGTGTTCTCTCCCCCTTTCTGTGTCATTTTCTCAGGGTTGGGCTCTAAGCACACCTCTGGCTGCAGCTCAGCTTCCTGGATAACTTTTCCATTTGCTCCCTTGCCCACTCTGCTGCTCCTCTCATGTACAGACACACAATCACAACCAGAGCTATACACTGTCCTATCTGTATCATCAGAAATACTTTTGCTAAGTTTCCCATGGAAACTTGAATTTTCCAATTACAAATATGTCCATATCAAGTACATGACATGGATATCAAGCTAAGAATAAATTAGCTAACTGCAAGACAATACATTATTTCTTAGTCTCTAAGAGCAGAAATGATATTTTGACAACTGCTCTTGCCAGGCTTTAAAGGATAAACAAACCCCATGAACACTCTAAACACATGAAAAGTAAGAATAGATGCACAAAAAGAGGGCATATTCCCTAGTAAAAATCTGATAGGGAACTACATTGCAAATAAATTTTCAAAGCCTGTCCTGTAATTGCTCTGCTATATGGAAACAGAGCATGAATTTGTGGTCTGCTCCCATTAGCTTTAATCACAAAGCAAGCAAATAAAATCAGCTGTTCAGACATCCTGAAATAACTTTAAGGGCCTGATAATTTTGCAAGAGCAATCACAGTTGCAAATCAGAAGTTATCTACAAATCAAAATGCATCAGTCTAATTCAAGAGGCTTCCAAAGATCTGCTTTCTTATGTTTCCTAGGTCAAAAAAATTGAGTGTGATATGCTCTAATAACAACTTTCAAGAGTTCTCTATCTGAATAAAAATAGCACAGGGACTGTGTCACTAGTGTGACTGTAAATAAAAAATGAAACAACAGTTTTATAGGAGCCTTTGGGATTTATATCAGCTGAAGACTAGGCCATACCATTACAGCATACAAACTGGCCATAAAGACAGTGTTAAATCAATCTTAAAAACTTTAAAAGTGATCCGGTTTACTTTAAGAAATGCTCAGTGATTTACAGGATCATATTCCTGTATTGGTTTTATTATTATTACTTTATTACATGGATCATCTAGAGTCAATTGAGACTCCAGAGCTCCCTGAAGCCGAGCTGTTCCTGTTGCAGTGGCTAACACAAGACCTAATGCTGAGAAAGGGAAGTCATTTCTATCTGTCCCATACCTGGGCACACATTTATGCCGGAGAGGGTTGTGCTGCTTGGTAAGGAAGAGAGTACAGAACTGTACTGCAACCAGGCGTATCTGGGGATAATTTCTCTAGAGAGCAGCAGCCTTTGTGGGTCCCAATGAGAGCATTTTGAGGTTGTTCAAACAGAGCTGCTTTCAGCAGCAGCAGGAAACACTCTTCACAGGTAGATCCTGGCTGGGTCCTGAGATACTACTCTGTAGTAACAGAAAATAATCCTATGTAAGGTAGAAGGCAGCTTGTGGACTTTGCCCCATATTTCTGCTTGGATTCGTGTGAATCTGGTCATCATCTTAATTAAAAAAAAAGAGTGGGTCACACAAGTATGCACATGGATATGTTATTCTTACTTGGAAAGGGAACAAAACCATAATTGCCCAAAAGAAAAATATTGGGCCATATCCAAAAATCCTCTTTGCTCAAAATTATCCCACAAACACAAAGAGATTGTCTATCGAGGGATTACAGGCCATAAACCTTAGCAAAGCTGAAATAATAGGGCAACTTATTTTTTATAGTCTGCCCCAATCTATGGAGTTAGGGAGCAAAGGTACACAGCCTACACAAATACTACTTATCAGCGGCTGAAAACCAGATAATGTACACACTCTCTGTGCCATCTTCAGAGCAATTATAGAAAGCTATCCAACAGAAGACTTCAATGCTCAGACTGAGCTCTGCAGCCTTCTTTCAGATCTGTTGTGCTCATTATGGATTCCAGAAAGAATGATGGAAAAGTATCCCAAGATGCCTTGCAATAAGTGATGCTTTCACAACTGGTAGGCTGAAAACAAAGACCTGTTTTACCCAAACTGTATTTTCAATGAGTTGTCACTTGGATAGGTATACCGCACCATCAGTTAGTCCTTATGTCCTGGAAAGTGTTTGGTCCTGCCTTACCTGAGCCCTGACAGGCAGGTGGACTTTTGCCATCAATGTGGGGGGCATGTTCCCCTTCAGTTCCAGATGCATGGATTAAGTCTGTAAATTCTGGTCAGTGTTGCCATTGCTGGCTTTCACAGGGTTGTTTAAAAGGGCTTTTTCCCATTGTTTTTCCAAGGACCTGCCCAAAAATGTTTCCATCCAAACCACCATCACGCAAGACTCCAGCAGAGGAGCTAAGAACAATAGCACACAAGGTTCCAAGTTCAATAGCAGTTTCAAGGATTTCAGCTGTCACAGTTAATTAGCAGCAGTTTCTCTCAGGCCTCCTTTGCTTAACCCCTGAAGAACAAGGCTTGGAAAACCAATGGTTAAGAGGGAGAGAGGTCAAAAGACCATTTTGTAGCAGCGAGGAATTATTAAGAAAGCAGAAGTAGAACATAGAACATGTTGTGAAGATTTCAGACAAAATGAGATTCAGCTTCTATGTCCACTTTTGCTAAAGAAAGAGGCATGAGCCTGAAGGGTGGGATCTGGAGGCTGGATTTTGGGCAGGGTTACTTTAGAAAGCTGAGTACAGTCCAGCTGCTGTTCTAGGGCAAGCACTTCCCAGCTGTACCCTGATCTGAAATCTGTGGCTTGGGCTTGTTTCTAAACATTACTTTTTCTTGCATAAAAGAAAAGGCATCATACGGTAAGCCACTGCCGAAAAACACTGGTGCTCTGCTTCCTCACAGGAAACTACTTTGGCATGCCTTCCCTTCCAAAGGACGTGGTGTGGTTGCTAGATACAAGACTGAAAGACAGAAAAAACTGGGAAATCTGATGTTGCCAAACCCTGATGCACAAACCACTTCTCAATGATACACCAGAGCAGTTCCTGACTCCTCTGTGTGAAGAGCCCTGACAGCCTGAGCAAGCACTTCCACACAGACTGTGTCAGAGGATGCTGTCTGGGTGCACCATCTTATCATGAAGCTCAGGGAAGCAGCTCTTCCCCAGGAGTCTCCAGTGTGCACCATGAGGGCTGTTGACCCATTGTGCTCACCACCTCTGAAATAATAAGGCCCAGGACACACTACACTTACCCCAGCCCATAGCAGGTCTTATGACAAGAGGCGATCCTCATCATGTGGACTGACACAGGATGAACACCACCTGAGACAGCCCAAGTTTCATGGGGGGACCACATGCCCCAGGCTGGATCATGGGGATGTCCTTTATTTCAGGTCTTATCACACAGTGCACGTATCAGGGTTAAAACTTGTCCCCTGGTACAGCCAGGAGACTGTGAGAGCTCCCCAGGCCAGAGCTTGAGAGAGGGGTCAAAGGGAAGCAAGCATCCACACAGAAAGGCAAAGGATTTCAACCTGCCATGTGAGAAGGCCCATATTTTATGGGAGCTTAGCCACCCTGTCAGGCATTGCTTACTGTATGCAACCCTAGTCATATAGTATTACTATGGTTACAGTATACACAGTATGCAACTCTGAGCTAGTTACTCCTGCAGCAGAGAGGGACTGATAAAACCTTTGGGACAGAGGGAGCATCTGAGCAAGTTGCACTGCTGCTGTCTCCCACAACACTGAACTCAGCATCTTTGGATCATTTAACATCCAGACATGCTGATACCCCTTCCCATAGGCTTCTCCACCCTATGCAGCTACCAGCAGGACCTGTCCTGCAAGAGCCTCCTCCACCGCTGCCCCATGCTGTCCCATGCTTACACACCTCATGGTCAGAAGCAGTGGCTCAGCTCTGCACAGAAGAATCAGTACAGTTCTCTGGCACAGCCAGTTTGGAGGTCTGAGTCCTAGTTTGTCACCAGTCCCCTACCAGAGTGGAGTCAGGAGAGTCCCTTTGCCTGACTGGTAAAAGGGAGCACCCTGCTGCCATGTCACTCTGCTGCTCTTGCAGAACACTGCAGAGCAGTGTAGCATGGTCTCTCCAAGAAGCTGGCTCTCCTGAACACATGAAGGCAGGGACTGTCCCTTGTAACATGTTTCTGCCACAGTTCCCTGCACCTCACTGGGGTTATGGGGCCAGCAGTGCCCAGCCTTTGCTGACCTCATACAGCATAGTACTTTGTTCCCTCTACCACCATTTTAACATATCCATGCCCTGTGAGTGTGAATGGTGTCACACATGGGAACAGACCAAAATTAGGGGTTGTTCTGTAGTAGAAAACAGCAGTCTATTCAGTACATCTGCACTTTGGCGTTACCTGAGATTCGTCATTTGTGGTTGCTGGTGGTATTCCTAAGCCTTCTGTCCATCTCACATACAGCAACAGCTGAAGCACAGACAAACCCTCCAGTACATCTCCAGAGAAAACAAAAAGCCCCCACATCCAAGGAGGATGCTTGCCACAGCCTCACACTTTCTATGAATGAGGGGAAGCTGACAGCAGGTGGAGATCTTCTGCTAATTACCTTGAATAATTTGCATGCTGGTGCTGTGCAGGTGGTCTGAGCCCTGTGGCACTGACCTAGGAACAGCAGTGGGAGCCCTGCATCTGCCACTGTTCAGTCTGAGCTGCAGGCCTGGGATGCTGACAGAAATCCTGATTCTGCATTTCCATCCATAGTTAGCAGTTCAGGGTTGTTCCCCTAATGTTTTTGGAAGAGGAGCAAAAAGTTCGAGCCCATGTAAAAGTCTCGCTCTGTTCACTTCAGTAGCTTGCTACACGTCAGCTTTAAAATCACTCTAAAGTGAAGAACTTTCTTGCAGGTTGGAAGAGTATCCAGCAGCTAAACCCAGTGCACGTTTGAGAAAAAAACAAAACAAAGCATGCATTCTTTCCTGAGGCTGGCAAGGCAGCCAGTGGGAGTCTCACTCTGGAGCAACTGCATTAAGGTTTACAGCTATTTAACAGCTCCTTATTTTAATTGCAGTTCTGGAGGCTTATGAACCCTGTGAGTCACAGAAGTTTCTAAGGTGAAGCAGTAACTCCTACCAGTGAGAGCTGGACCCTTGGATTATCAGAAAAATCTCATTTCTGGAAACAGATAGAAAAGCTACCCTGGCATTCTGTGCTTTAACATACAGGAATATATTATGAAATAAGGTTACTAGTTTACACTACATTCTCTATTGGTTTCTAAAATCAGATACAAGTCTGTGGTCAAGTTAGTGTTTTATCACACATTTTTTATTGTTACATGTGCAATGCTTGGGGTTTATCCCAAAAAGCAATTATAATCTTTTCCACACCCAGGGAACATGGTGGTTAACACTCAATATAGTCCCAGATTTATCAAGAACTAAAGGCTTTGCTCACATGCTCAGAGCCAAACTTCTGGGTGGAGGTAGGGAAATACTTTCTGTGGAGTACTCATTCAGATTGAAGAAAATTCCCTTAAACCCAGCATGGATTGAGGACATGAATTTTAGAGTGGAGAAATTAAAAGTGTTCAGTCTATTTCAAAATTCACTATTCCCACAAGATTTGCCCTCTGGTATCAAAAACTGAAATACAACAAAGAGCTACAGAAAGGATCAAAAGAAGTAACTGCTCAAAGAAGAAAACAGGAGTACTGAAATGAAAGGAATTCCAGGTTGTTGGGAATATCTGAAATTCATGTTCGCCCTTCACAAAAGGGAACCTGCCTTGTCATAAAAGAAACCATTATTTTAGCACCCTTTTTGTGGTATAAGGGTCACCTTGTGCACACAGTGGGCTACACCAGATCCAAGAGGCAATGGATTTTTAAGTTCATAGAATCATAGAATCACAGAATGGTTTGGGTTGGAAGGGACCTTAAAGCTCACCCAGTTGCAATCCCCTGCCATGGGCAGGGACACCTTCCACTAGAGCAGGTTGCTCAAAGCCCCATTCAGCCTGGCCTCAACCACTGTCAGGGATGGGGTAAAGCTCTCTGGAGAGGAGCTAAAGCAAATGGGTTTTGCTTTTGGTGCAGTCACACACAATTGCACAGCATGTATCTTTTTTAAGAATAAATACGTGAAGACCTGTAACTGCTAGTGTATGTACATGGGTGTCCTGTCACCTCCCTCGACCCGGATGGCTTCAAAGAGTTTCCACAAGGAGAATACATGTGCTGAGCTGCAGTTAGATGCCACTTCACTGCCTTTATGTTTATTTTTAGGAAATGCAAACTGATCCCCATGCGACAGGGCACGGTGGGATCAAACAGCAGGAGGTGGTTTCTTTGCTCACCCCATAGGCCTTGTGCTCTCTATCACGCTGCCCCAAAGCTTTTGTTCTTTGTTCCTTTTCAGGATGTGCCTCATGTTTGCTTTATCCCTTGCTGCTTTTGCCCACTCTGCTCTATCAAATAGCATCAGCCCCTTTATTATAGGAAATAGAAATATCTGGGGAATGTCTTGATATCCCTCTAGCCTCACAACTCATTTTTTAACCATTTGCCCTATGTTCTGCTGTGTTTTTTTCAGCTGCCGGTAAATAAAGGAGCTGTTTCACTGGAGAAAGGAAGACAGCAGTTACATCACCACCACAAAGCTGAGACAAATCACAGTCTTTGGGAGTCTGTTTTCCAGGGGAAAGCATGCTCTGCCCATCTTCTTGTGCCTCTTCCCAAGTCAACACAAAGCAGAGAAAAGGACAGTGGACAGATTACAAATGGCACAAGCTTAATCAGGAGCCACTATTTTTTGTCATGATGTTTTCATGCTGTGAACCCAGTTTGAGCCATCTCTTACACAAACCTCCTGGGGGATTTTTAATCTTCCTGCTTGTTTTTGTTCCATCTGTCTTTTCAGAGAGTCTCTGAGGAATATTTATTCTTTCTTTGGAATCTGCTGTCTCTTTCATAAACTCTTTCTCACTTCTCCTATAAAAACATATTCAGGACAGAACTCCTTCCAGTTTCCAGTGTAATTTTATTCCTGGGTAGTTTATACCTAGTTGTTTCCATGCTGTGGTTCTGCCTTAACTTGAGTAGCTCTTTTCCACCCCTAATGTTCTCCCCCAGAATGTGTGAAAGGTAAATTATTTCTTTTCAGGGCTCCTCGCATTTCTTTTAGTTTCAGATGAGCTGCCTGGAGCTTATCACAGACCACTTATAAACAGCTCATGAGTTCCCCTTCAAGGTCTTCAGCATGCATCAGAATATCAACCAGATACAACACACTAGACAAAAGACACTTAGGACACAGCAGTCTCTTCTTTAGTGGATAGTGCATTTTCAAGCTTAAAGCCATCTCTTTAAATGAGTTCAAGCCTTGTCTTGTGCTAATGGCAGGGCTTCTCTCTTCCTGGCTTTTGTATCCACCATTATTTTTCCATAATAAGGAAAGCCCAGATGAATCCACTATGGCATTCTGAACGTCATCTCTTGATCCAAGCAGTATCCATCTTTTAAAATTCAACTTTTCAGCATTCAGTCAGAAACCGGTGCTGTCACCTTATTTCATATTAAGAACTCGATGAAGGTCAGCGCTGTACTCCAGATTTAATTATGCTTAGTTAATCCATTTTCTCAGTAGTGCATAAAGCCTCTTCTCCTTTTGTTACTAGTAAGTGGCAGAGTGATGCTTAATGAGCAACGACCTTCTGCCAGTACCTGGACCAGTTTTAACACCTGTGCTTCTGTGGGATCTGGAAAGTAAACCCTTATTCCTTTTCAGAAATTGCCTTGAACTGTTGTTTCCCCCATTTAGAGGTACCACTCTGTGCTGGGACAGTCCAAGGACAATTCTGAGAACTTACTTGCACTCCACGTTTGTCTTCAGCTCTTTGTCCCTACACACATATATCTACTATAGCCACGGTTTGTAGTCATTCCACCTTTTACAATGTTCTGCTCCACAAAAGCCCAGATTTCCTGAACTTCTGTGCAGGTCTCAGTCATGCTGCACTTTTCCTCTCTTGGAAGCCCATCACAGGAGGAAGTTGTTAGGATTGTTTCTGTCGCTGGAAGCAAAAGGAGTCATGGACTGCAAATAAGGTGCATGTACCTGCCCTCCCAACCCTGAACCAAATGTTACAAAGGGAATTTATGCCAAATTGTTGTGAACACCTTTCCTCACTCTGGCGTAGTGAAATTCAGAGTGATCAGTAATTCCTTTGCCACCTTGGCTAATCAGTCTTTGAGCTCAAACCCCAGAGATTCAGTCTATAATCCTTAAGTCCTTTTTGGACAGATTCCCCCATCTCTGACACCAGTCAAAGGCTCAGGTTTGGATCCCTTGTTCTCTATCTGTTTTCACATGCCTGTGTTCACTGCCTGTGAGTGCCCCCAATGGTTATGTTCAGTTGCCAGCATACTGCCTCTCCTGCTCTTTGATTGCCGTGTCCTAAACCATGAGATGACTCTTCAGCTTTATGTCACCTCCTTCTCTAGCCCATGTAGGGGGAGAAGCTTATATTGAGCACTTCTGTAAAAGCTGCTGCTGCTTCCAATGAATAAAAGCAAAGACCAAGTCATGTCCTGTAAACTATTCCCACAGCCTCTTGGAATGGCCTTTTTTTCTCTTGCTGGTGCTGAATGTCAAAGCCCACTTGTGAATCTATAAACAGATCCATTGCCAATTCATCCTGGAAGACCTCGCTGTGCCAGGAACACACATTTCCTCTGCTTCTCCACCCTTTCAAGCAGGGCATCTCCCTTCCCTCCATGTCAATATTTTGACTCTTTCTAGCACTAGTGCCTGATGCTAAACCATATACCAAGAACTTGCACAAAGTCTGAATAATTCACCTGCCTCCCCCAGTCTGGCAGTACATCTTGCAGCAGCAGCAACGCTGGGCTACTCAGATTCATCCTTACAAACCCATCTGTGTTCATCCTTCCCTGTCAGCCTTTTAGACCGTAATGATGAGTTAACTGGAAAACCTTTGAGAATTCTTCCCCTCCCAGTGCAATTTTGCATTATTTGAGAAAATGAACCCTCCCTTATTCACATTTCTTAGTTACTGATGGGTACGGGAAAGTGCTACAAATGTCTTGTTTTAGCCAAATTCTCTGGCTGGCCCAGCTCCCGTACCAAGAAAGCTGACTTGCACTGTCCCCCATGACCCTTCCATCACTTTAGTCAGGCAATTTTTCAGCCCCCAAAAAGCCATTGCAGAATCAGGAATTAATTTGCTGCATCATCATTTTCTGCATCATCAAGCCCTATATGACTGGAAGAATACAAGAAAATACATGTCTTTTTTTTAGACTATATTTTTAGGCTTTCCCAGGTTACATCAATCTATTTTTAGACTAAATAACTATACTCTTCACTCACCTTCTGATGGTTAGTCCTGATGGCAGGAAGATTGTTGAAAGAGATAGATGTAGTCTGTGTTGAGAAGTGCTCAACAGGGCAGCCTCTCATTCTCCATTCCAGGAGCCAGTACTCTGTGCTAAGTTGTGCATGGGGAAAGGGCATAATAGAAAAAATATATCTGACATTAGTAAAGGAGGAGAGGACCAGCAAGCATCACGTTTCCTTCCATGTAAAGTTAAAGCCAAAAATGTAGGAAATAGATAGAGGAGTTTAAATGTGTGCTGTCATTCACTTCTCCAGAAGGTCCACAGTGCTTCATAAGAAATGGTAGCTCCTGTAATGCAGCATAATCTGAGATGAGGTGATTGAGTTTTGGTTCAAAGTTTGAGTCTGGTTTTTTGGAAAGAAGAAAACTACATCACCTGAAAGAAGTCAGTGATGAAGCTTTGTTATATGGTGTAAAATGTCTGAGCAGATGAAGTGATGGCATATTAAATTGTACTTTTACACAGAAAATGCCAGGGGACTAGATATAAAATCCAGGCAAATCCACAGCAGCAACTCTACACATATTTACGTGCAGGCCCCTAATGACTGGCACAATCCCCAGAAGGCAGAGATGGATTGGTTTGTATCTTGTCATCTCTTCAGATAAAGCAATGGAGCTTGGGGTGGGGGTAGACGACTATTATGTTAGGCACACACAACAGAAACGTTAGTGAAATGTAAACTATTTAACTCAGAAAGGAGGTAAAAGGATGAAATTTAATATTCAAGATGTGAGAACAGACGTTCCCCTGGACTCTGTCCATATATAGTCAAGGATTTTCTGGGTTAGAGCCAGTATTTCCATTGAAGCACCTTGTTTGAAAAATCTTTTCTGTCTTTTACTCCTTTGAGACAAAACCCAAATGCTGCTTATCTGAACTTGTCCACTTTGCACTTTTCTTTTTGAGAACCTGCAAGGGAACATATGACCCTGTAAACGCATCCCTGTTCCTGCCACAGATAACATATTACATACCATCAAAAAAAAAAAAGGGGGGGGGGGGAATATCAATGCAAAGACAGATGAGCATTTTATAATGAAGATATATTTCCTGCTTCCATTTTACAAAATCTGAGTCACCCTGGCTCACGTTGGGAAGAACCAGTGTTCAAACCTGCAGAGATATTATCTGCCTTCGGAATTTTTGGGAAAACTCTCAACCTTATTTGGAAAAGTGGGATCTGCTGTGATAGCCATGGCCTTGACTATCTGGGAAAAGGGTCCTAAACACCTTCTCCCTCCAGATTAACTCCTGATCTATCTGTGTGGCACCCTCTGGGGCCGATGGCACCTTAGACATCTCACACTTGTTTCCAGAGCACTCCACAACATCTCAGGCAACCTCTCCAAGGGCTGAAGTCCTCTTTGCCCTATTACTTCTATTAATGCAAGACTGTGCAATCAGTGGTCCTAAATCAGCAATATACTTATGAATGCACAGCTTTTTTCCTGTGCCTCCCCTCTGAGACCAGGGCCACAGTACTGGGTTCAGGCTGTGGGAGAGAGGCAGGGAACAGAGACCTGACCAGCAATAGGTATCTCTACCCTATAGCCAGCATTCTCCAGCGTCTCAGTCTCCAGCAGATAGGACAGGATAAGAGCAGGTCACATGCGGAGGTAAAAGACACTCCAGCCCTGTCCCTGTTCTAGGAGGAATCCTGTGCCAGTAGGATTACGGTGCTGGGTTCATGGGGCAGAATAGACTCTGCATCACAGGAAAAGCCACCCTGGGGGGCCGGGGCTGGGAGGTGGGAGCTGGCTGCCAGCAGAGTGAGTGCAATGGTTCTGCATCCAGAAGACGAGCAACATACCACATACATTTACACACTCACCAGTAACACAAGACCTGGCAGCCCCTCAAAGATGAGCCATGGTTTGGAAATCAAAGATATTTTTCATTTCCATTATACCCACTGGGTGTCTTTGATTATATTTTGCAAGCAGAATAAGGCAACCAGAACAGTGCAAAAGTGGTGGAAAAAGACACCCTCCTCAGTTTGACACATTTTTTTTTACCATTTGCTAGAGGATGGCTACACCACCACCCCTTACAATGTGAATTTCCTTCATTATAGAATTTTTCTTTTTCCCCTGTAAAAGCCAATGGAATGTAGACAATGAACAATTTCACATTTAGAAGCCAACTTTTCATCAGAGTTTATCCTTTTGATTTTGAAACTGGCTCATTTAAGCTGGAAAATTCTGTGAAATGTTGCAATAAAAGAGGCTCTATTTTTGCATTAGCTAAAATATGCACACACAGAAAACCCAAGCAATACAAAAGCAAGCAAAGAAATGCCCAGCCCGTAAGCTCCAAGTTGCTTAAAATTTCTCATTTCAAGTACAAATGCCTCATAGATCCTCGCCATCTCTAATAATAATGCAAGCTGCCACCCAACAACAGCATAACATTTCCACCAGGCAGTATATTTTTCCTTGCAAAACTTAGTGAGTGTGGCTTCAGCTGCCTAAATGCCATCTCAGTCTGTTGCAATCGGCTGTAAACTTTCAAGATACTGGTCATATGTCATAAACTCACAACAGTTTCTGGATTTGCCTTAGGACTAAAATGTTCCTGGGCAAAACCAATTCACTGAGGAAGAAATCCTACCCTTTGTTGTTTTCCTGATTCCCTAGAAGTAACTTCTCACTGATTTCCAGCACACCCCCCCCCCCCCCTTGCCTACTTCTGTGCATGCCATTTTACTTTATACATCAGATCCATCCCAGTTCCAGCCATTAGAAAGAGTATCTTGCTCTTCTGTACTGCAAAGCAGAACAGTAATTGCACATTCATGGGGGGAAGGCAAAAGGAGAATCCAAATCCAGGATAGGCTTCTGGCCAAAGCAGCTCAGTTTTTCCATCTCATCTGCAACTGAGACATGAAAAGTGCAGGTTAGCACTGGGCAGCACCATCCAACAGCAGATTGTGGCAATCTTATTTCTAAAGGTTGTGCATGTGACTCAAGTTATGGATTTTTAGACCAAATACAGCAGCACTAGATACAAGGAGGATACATTCAGCCACTGAATCAAAGTTTGAGGAAAGGGTAGGATTTTTACATTCATATGAAGCCCGCATATAATTGCTGGCAGATATTTATAGAACATGACCATATGAACTCTGATCGACAGTCAAGAAGTAAGATAAGTTACATGAATTCAGTGCTGCCAGTTTAACATAATTTCCTTTCAACACTGTGACCAAATTGCCTTGATGTTCACACCTGTAAAATGGGGACAGTACTTTATGCCTTTTACAGGGGATAGTGTTAGACACATTAGTTAAATTATTTGGAGAAGCATCTTCATACACAGGACACACTTCATACTGCAAAATAACTTTATCTGTACCAGCTGGTGTTGCACAGGAGGAGCTGAAATCTAAACCAGGAAAGTGAGGGAGAAAGTCAGCATAATTTCCTGTTGGTAGGATGTGCTCTGCAAGTGTGACTAAGAATATAGAACAGAGGGACCTTGCAAGCAGGTTTTTTTAGCCTGCTTTCCTTCTCTCACCAGGTTGTGCTCATGCAACGCCATGGTCCCCAGGAAAGGCATTTCTTATTTACTCAGTGTGTGAGCAGAACCCAGTCCTTTCACCTCAAATCAATTTTCCTTAGATTCCAGAGCAGCTGTGGTGCTATGTGCCAGCAACTGTCTCCTATCTCGCATGCTCATGCTGTGCACAGTTGTCCCCTCTGGTTGCAGAGTAAATTAGAGGAGCCACCACAGTACAGCTGAGAAAGCAATGGAAAATCCAGCCAGGAAGCTTTTTCTTCTTGATTTCTGTGAGGTTCTCCATGTTTGCTAAGCTCTGTGGGCTCAGTAGTGGGAACTGAAAAAGAAAAACCATCACACACAATTTTTCTGTGCCTTGCAAAAGTCAAATAAATCAAGAAATAAAACATCAAGGCATCTGTGATACAAGACTGGGTTCATGAATGTTTAAAACATTTAAACTCTGTCTCTCTGGCTTCTAAATCTGGTTGCTGGGATTTCATTATTCTATCTATTTTTTAAGGTATAATCACTTGTATCTTAAGAATTGTCTGACTGTGTTCTGTATTAAACTTTGCATGACTTGGATAGATCTGCATCGCACTGCCCATCTTTTCTGCCTTCAGATTTATCATCTGAAAATTTTCCACGTGACACCAGTGAAGTCCCCATCGTCAACAGTAGAGCCAGCCATGCCACCTCATTATTTCCACCCCTTTGCTGCCTCATTAGAGATAGGCCAAGTGTCTCGCTGAATCACAGTCGCTCTGCTCAGGCAGATGGGCAGCCCCACATCACTCCAAGAGGCAGGCACAAGGTGAGCTTACCATTGCCACCACAGTCCTGTCCATCCATCCACTGTGCCACAGTGTATCCCTTTGGCCATCTCTTCACCCAGAGTGGTGACAAGCAGTGTAGATTAGGTTACCCACCACAACCCCAGCATGAAGCTGGGACTTTACCCACAGCTCCTGGCCCTGGCAGCCTGCACAAAGGAAACAAGCAAAGGGTGGAAGAGGAGGTGGCAAAGAGCTCAGTATGTATTTGCTAATTGGTGGAAGACCTGAAAATAGACCCTTCTGCCTCATCTTACTCAGTCCCACATGGGTTCCTCTCTGTCTCCAAATTCTAATTGTCCTGGGGGTTGTGCAGGGAACATGCCCCCAGTAGGTCTCTGTTGTGCCTGTTGTTAGATCTTAGCTATGGCTGCTTAATTCTCATTAAATAGCTAAGTTTCTTTTAATCTTCTTCCAAAACAAGGAGCTTAAGCATTAGAACATCTCCTAGGAACTTCCAGCTCTCCTTTGAGAAGATATTTCTTTCTATTGAAGGGAAAATTTCCCAATAACTCTTCTGCTGCCAAGCATCAAGGCCAGAGGCAACGCCGTGCTCATCCCTCATCATTTCCTAAGGGACTCACACATCCCAGGCTGTGCCCTCTGCCTTTACTTTCCCATTTTCATTCCAGCCTGTCTGCTTGAATTCATTCAAAGGTGTAAGAAAAAAAACCTCTTGGGACAGTCTGTCCAGTGCTGCACCCACCGCAGTAAAACCTCAACTGCTGTACTACTGGTTCTTATCAGCCATCACACCTTAAAGTACAGAAGGTGTGTCTAATATTAGCCAGGAAACGTCCTGGTGAAGACCTGGACTTTTTCAGCTAATCAGTACTAATAACTTCCTATGTTTGAAGACAGCCCATAGGAAATGCAGCCTGACTCATCTACCCTGTAATTAGATGAACTCGAAAAAGTGCAGGTGTCTGCATCACACAGGCGCATTAGCCAAGGTGCAGAATATGCTTCTGACCAAAGGGCAGATATTAGCAGCAGTAATTTCCTCCATTGATATAATATGAACAAGCAGTATTCCTGACAGATTTTGCATCTGGCTGAGGCTGGAGACTTGAGCAGTCATTTTCTTCCTTACCTCTCTTACGGAAAATCAGTAATATGCAAAAAAAACTTTGATTTATTTTTTACATGTTTGCAAATTACTAGAAAATAATTATGAAGCAAAATTTCATGAAAACAAAAAGATATTCAGGCCCATTCGCTATATAGGTAATACCTAGACTGTGAGTCTTACCCAAGATGTTTGTTTCCTGTGTTCTTTCTTTCCTGCCAAGTTCAGCCGTATATCACTTTTATGTATCTGAAGGCAATGGTGTAATGCAATATGAAGCTATGAATGGGATAAAGTTACGTATTCTCCATTGATTTTCCATTGTATCCATTATCTTTAATGCTGGAACGCAGGTTACTGTGAGCGCCGGAAGCCTCTGCACCTCCACAGTGACTGCTGCCTTATGAAAACCGTCCCCTGGGGGCAGATAAAATCAGCTGCAAGTTGCAGAGAGGAGACAGGAGTTCCCCAAAGTGTCCGGCTTAATGCAGGAAGTAAGTGGTTCTCCTCCTGCCTGCAGGAAAGAGAGGGAGAACGTAGACTCGGGGAGGGAGATACGAGAGAGCTGGGAGGAAACCAGAGAAGGGCTGAAATTGAAGGGTGGGAAGAAGAGGGGAAGGAAGTGAGAATGACAGATCTGCCTCAAGGCTTCTTAGCAGCAGAGAAATGCTTTTTACATGCATAAAAAAAAAAAAAAAGGAGGAAAAGAAAGAGATTTGTGGTCCATGATTCTGCTGTTCTCTGCTGCAAAGTTCCCCAGGCATCACCAATATCGCTTCAGGAGAGCAGCAGGACGGCAGCAGAGGGGGCTCCAAATCTATGGCTCCCCAATCCTGGGTCTTGTGGAAAGCAAGCTGAAGGCTCACTGCCATTGCTGCTCAGCACCATGGGTCGGGATGAGCAAGAAAAGTGTTTTCAGGAAGCACTGGAGCTTTCCACCATAGCAGCTCAAGCAAAAGCTTAGTATGGGCACTCAGAAGAGAGAAAGATGAGAAGGGTGAGAGGATGCAGCTGCACAGGGAAAGCAGGGAGGCTTGTGGCCCAGATGGGCCCAGTTGCACTGGGACTAGATGTTAACACTAGCTCCCTAACAAGCTTCTCAAATCTCATTTTTTAAGGCCATGTGTTAACAGAAAACAACTGTTCAAATTTAGAAAGCTCCAGCACCACTTTCCCCCTTGTTGCATCTGGGCTGCAGGAATTAGAATCACCAATGCCACTTAATTCTTCATTCCTATTCTGAAGGGTTAGAAGGGTTAGTCACATGAGTGGTCATCTTGGATGATCCCATGCAAGCAATCCCAGCAGGATTTCTCCATGTATGACTAACTGGTTCTCCTGGGAGCCCGGAGCTTCCCATTGGGAAGGCAAAGGATTACCCTTTTTAATGTCAGAGCTGTCTGCAATCTTAATACCTCAGTCACCACTGCTGCCCCTGTAATGTATTAAGATCAAAATTCTTCTGCAGGAGAAGTTCATCTCCATCTGGCCTTTACTGCGCTGGCTACTCCTGTTGACATCTGTGACTAATTCAGAATCTATGAGACAGACCTATACCAATACAAAAACTCCTTCCTAAAACCCTGCCAGGCTGACCGGCTGGCATTCCTCAGGAAAGCTGCTCAAGAAGAGCTGGCTCTGAATAACTCCATGGGACAACATTTCTGAAACGAGCATCTCATCCCAGTTTACCTTGGAGCACACCAGCTTGCAACCATGGACAAGCTGCTTTGCTTCACCTATCACCCTGGGTACAGAGCTTAGGGACCTTCACGCAAATTGTCCTTCAGGTATTTGGTCTAATGGCTGACACAGAGCAAATCCTTTCCATTAGTTCAAGAAAAATCTGGTACCTTGTTTGCTGTTTTAGCAGGGGCAGAGCTGGAGCCAGACTCCTTCCCGCCCGCCCCCCTTGCTCCGTGGTACGTGCATGTGCTGCGCAGCAGGACCTCTTTTCTCATTTAAACAGCCAATTAAAGCCTACTTTGGCACTTAGCACATGACATCAACTTGCAGTACTTAAGCCTCCTAGCACAGTGTGAATTTAATTTGATAAAGGGGCAACTAATAAAGATCTTGGAAGGCTGGTTAAAGTTCATTAAGCCTTTCCTTTCAAGGTACACTTGCCTCCAGTGCAAAAGCTTGCCTCTATGGGTTTTTTTTTAAAGCTGTGTTATATCCTGCCACCAGAAAAAGGTGCCTGTGTCACATCCCAACAGGGTATATTTAAAGTCTCACTGTTAAGTCATGTCAGGCCTTGGTTTCTTGCCCAGAAATGTGCAGAAAATAAAGTAAAAGCCCCTTTTCCCGAGTGCGGGGCGAGGAGTGCAGCATGGGTTGGTGCAGGCAGGCTCCAGAGAGGGGAACTGGGCTTCTGTCACACTGAGCTGCATTCATCCTCCTTCTCTTGAACCATCCGTAATTCCAGATGGCTTTCATAAACAGATGAGGAGGCTCCTCTGAGATCCCTGGTTTAATGAAGCCCGTATGGCTGACTCATGTAATAAGTATTTAATCATGCTGATGAAAATGGTTTTTAAAACTTCCACCACACACACAGTGCTGTTCCCCGTGCAGCCACGGAGCTGATAGCACGTCACAGCCAAGGAACCTCTGTTAGCCAGAGCCTCTCCAGGTGCCTGCATTGACTTCCATCAATGAGTTATAAACGTGCACATGTGCTTGTGCATTGCCACCCTCCAACAAGGACCTGTTCACCTTTGAAGAGACCCATCAAATCGCCTAAAGAAGTGCCACAAAAGGCATTTATTTCCAAGCTACACATTCCCTGTGCAGCTGTTTCAGAGGTCACTCAAGGGTTAACACTTCAGTGTTTATCTCTTCTCATTAGTTTCTGTTTGTGCTCTCAATGCCCATGCCCTAAAAATCTGCAGAGCTTAAGTGGTCTCCATTTGTAAAGAGAGAGATGCCACAATCTCTTGCAAATACTGAATCATCTTAAGTGGAATTTATTCCTCTTGTCAGCAGAAGTCATTCTCAGTGTCATGAAGGAGATGGGCCTTTACCACTTAGCCTGACCAGCAAGTCGAAGGAGGTGATCCTGCCCCTCTACTCTGATCTCGTGAGACCTCACCTGGAGTATTGTGTGCAGTTCTGGTGTCCTCAACATAAAAAGGACATGGAACTGTTGGAACAAGTCCAGAGGAGGGCCATGAGGATGATCAGGGGACTGGAGCACCTCCTGTATGAAGACAGGCTGAGAAAGTTGGAGCTGTTCAGCCTGGAGAAGAGAAGGCTGCGTGGAGACCTCATAGCAGCCTTCCAGTATCTGAAGGGGGCCTATAGGGATGCTGGAGAGGGACTGTAGTGATAGGACAAGGGGTAATGGGTTAAAACTTAAACAGGGGAAGCTTAGATTTGATATAAGGAAGAAATTCTTTACTGTTAGGGTGATGAGGCACTGGAATGGGTTGCCCAGGGAGGTTGTGAATGCTCCATCCCTGGTGGTCTTCGAGGCCAGGTTGGACAGAGCCTTGGGTGACATGGTTTAGTGTGAGGTGTCCCTGCCCACGGCAGGTGGGCTGGAACTAGATGATCTTAAGGTCCTGGGGCCATTCCTAGCAAGTCTCTGCTTCTTAATGGCATAATGTACACATCCTCGGACTTCTTGAACACTTTTAAATTTCTAGTCTAACTGGTTTTGTTGCACAATATGTTAGCACTTGTAGCCTGGGAGAGAGGGTAGGAAGGAAGTTGTTATCAGAAGCTGATAGGAGGGAAGTTGTATCAGAAGTTCTTTGTTTATATGCAGGAGCAGATAAGTTGACTCATATCTTTGAGTCCCCACCACTGCAATACTACACATCCCCATGCACATGCCATGTAAGACACAGGCATGGGCATACAGAAGATGCTTCAACCCCTGCCCCAGAGATAATGTAAGCGCTTTCTAACCACCTGTGCTTGTTGTAAAACCTAGAAATGTCTTGAGCTTGTTCTTAGCAAAATCTCTCACCCTTTTCCTCTTGATGCTGTGTTGCATTCACCGGCTGTCACAGCAGGCGAGTGGGTTTGCAGATAGCACTGGGCTGATGTAATTTGGCCAAATTTGCTCTCCATGACCATCCTCTCACCACTTTGTGTGTAATTAAAACATGACAAGACCCTGTTTCACAAGACAAATGAGAAGAGGATTGGTGGGGCACCTCCAATGTAACAGGTTCAGATGCAGCACTGTAAATTACTTTGTTTGGAGAAGAGTGGCCTTTCTTCAGGTTGAAGAGTTGGTGTCCTCAATGTAAAAAGGACATGGAACTGTTGGAACAAGTCCAGAGGAGGGCCACGAGGATGATTGGGGGACTGGAGCACCTCCCTTATGAAGATAGGCTGAGGAAGTTGGGGCTGTTCAGCCTGGGGAAGAGAAGGCTGTGTGGAGACCTCATAGCAGCCTTCCAGTATCTGAAGGGGACTATATAAGGATGCTGGGCAGGGACTCTTCGTTAGGGACTGAAGCGATAGGAGAAGGAGTAACGGGTTAAAACTTACATAGGGGAAGTTTAGATTGGATATAAGGAACAAGTTCTTTACTATAAGGATGGTGAGGCACTGGAATGGGTTGCCCAGGGAGGCTGTGAATGCTCCATCCCTGGTGGTGTTCAAGGCCAGGTTGGACAGAGCCTTGGGTGTCATGGTTTAGTGTGAGGTGTCCCTGCCCATGGCAGGAGGGTTGGAACTAGATGATCTTAAGGTCCTTTCCAACCCTAACTATTCTGTGATTCTGTGATTTCCAGAGCATGAACTTAAGTGAACGTAACTCCATGTAACTTCATCAGGTGGTGACTGGAAGACCACATGATTTCAGTACCTTTTAAGCTTTCTTCAGAAAGTCATTCCTCCTCCTCTTCTCCAGAGAAAACCCAGGACTAATGGTCTCTTCCAAGCAGGCTGCATGCAGAGGGCAAGTGTGACCCTCCCTGGGGCAAGGCTGAGGACCTTAGACCTGTTCTCATGTGCTCTTGTCACTGAAATAATCCCGTGTGGGCTTAAGGCTCAATGTCAAGATTTTAACTGATTTCTTAGGGGATGAAGCCCATAAATCACTACCTTGGAGGGTGGGGAAAGGCTGGAAAAGTCAGTCTTTACCTTTACAACTGGCTCATCATTATTCAGCAGGTCCAGCCACCACTTCTTGAGAGCTCTGGGGAAAGGAAGACAATGAATCCCATACTATTCTGCACAGGCTGCTGGCCACAGGCAGAGAAAGGCACCCCTGGTTTTATCTATATGGAATTTTGTGGATCAGTCTAAATTTTGGCAGACAGGTATTTGTTGTCTTCAGCTGAATTAGTTTTAATTTTAAGTGTTGGGGGCAAAGCCACTTGAAGAGCTTTGATCTGCAAGATTATCTTTTCCAAATTCTAGAAATGTTGAAATCTGAAGGTGTGTTTGCAGTATGTTATCAGTTACAAGATTGCTTACATCCTAGGAAAAGGCTTATTTTCTGACATGAGAGCAAACAAGATCTCCTCCTCTTCATGTCATCAAGAGTTAGTGTCTTTTTGTAAGCAATTTATTGTTCAAATCACTGAAATGTAGCACAATATTCATGGCTTTAGAAAATGTGGTGGTTTTTTTTTTAATTTCCCTCACTTGATTTTATAAGACTTTTTTTTTTGTTTTCACTTCTAAACATGCACATATGTTGAAAAGATACCAGTATAGGCTGAACAGAAAGATGACTGTGATACTGTCTCATCCACTTATAAACAGTGTCTTACCCCATGCTTTGTGATTGACTAAGGTGTCCATTGTGCATAGTAGGTGCTGCTTTAAATAATTGTTCTTAGGTAGTTAGCGTGTTTAAGTGTTTAAGTAAGTCTTCAAGACTGAAAAGTCTTCAAGATTGGGAAGTCTGGTTAACTTTGAATCATATTGGTGTAGCACCTAGATGTACACAGCTGCAAGTAACTGGAGCATTACAGTCTTTAGAGGCTTTATAATGAAAGCCAGAGTTCACTTGCATGAAGTGCTTCATTCTCCCATTCATGAGCTTACAGATTTTAGAGCTGCAGGATGAAACTTTGCAAGTGCAGGAATTCCGCACCCCTTCTTGTATCTCATTTTAGAGCACCTAATTAAGATGTCACCATGACATTTCAGAAAAGCACCCTAAATAGAAGAACACTGGAATAGTGGAGAGGTCTCAATTTCCTTGGGTATGACTTCAAACCCTGGAGTTAAAAGACACTAGAAAGAGAACTTAATGCCTATAAATCTTGCGGTATGAACTGACCCATGACTCACAAAGTGCCCAAGCCCCTAACTGTCAGGAGAAAAACCCTTTATAATACAGTTTGTTGCTATCACTGGAAACTTTAACCCACTGGCTTCACACTCAGAAGGCAAATGGCAGGAGAGGATTTACATGTTCCTCTGAACAAAATACGCCAGGGTAGGAAAACTTGACCTGACAGTTTTGAGACATGCCTGCCATAAATAACCAATTGATTGGCTGACTTGCAAAGCCATTAGCAGGTGTGAGGTGCCTGCTGAGATTCAGACATTGCACAAAATGCTGGAGGTGCCAGCAAAATGGACACAGCAATTGGCTATGCAGTTGTCTTCCAGCAGATCGCTCAGGAGGGCTCATGAAAAATGGAGCAGCTTTCACCTGTCTTGTTTGACACTGTAGCTGTGTAAACAGATTGTGCATGGGATCCAGTCTGTCATGGGCAAAGGGCTAAAAAAAGAGAGATAAAATGAGCACCTTGTGCTTGAGCACTAAATCATTTAGGGAGTAAAATATTTCCAATGAAGTTGGAGATCCTGCCTTGGCAGTTGAAGACGATGAGTCTTCTCTCCTGTAAATCACCACAGCTGCCAAGTGGCACTGGTAGGTCTGAGCTAAAGGGACTTTCCACCCCCTGAAAAGTGGCAGCAGCAGTTATAGGAGAAGGAAATGTGATGACTCAGATCACAGGCTGTCAGTGGACCAGATGTTATGTTTTACTATCAGAGAATGGGTCATTTTTGCCTTTTCTTCCATCCCTTGTCCTCTCAAAGAGTGCATGTGATACACCCACCTTCACTCTCACTGCTGCAACCACACTTTCTGGACTTGGGCTTTTTGCATTGCCCCACCCTGTTGTCAAGGGAAAAGATAAGAGCAGCAGAACTCCCCTGGAGCACTGATTATGAAGTCTTTCATTTTGGAGAACAGAGGCAGTAGGAAGCAGAGTAGACATGATGCTGGTGTACTCCAGACACTCAGTTATACCAGAGATATATGCAGAGTGCAATTGAGTAGGAATCTGGGTGTAAATGGCTACGTAAATAGCAGCATAATGATGAACCAGAGCCAGCTCCTCAGAGAGGCTGCAGCTTCGGGCATCAGCTTTGAACAACCAGAGACAGGGCCTTGTTCCAGTGTCAAACATAAGATGAGAACTGACAACCGGGAGGTAAAAGGAGGGTAAAAAAACGTGGGTATGTGAAATTACATTCAATCTGACCCCGCTCAGAGGCTCAAGTTCTTTCCAACATATTTCTGCTCCAGGAGATAGTGGGCCAGCTCACAAGGTGTCTCCTGCGTTAGCCAGATTGCCTCCTGTGCTCTTAGAAGAGTGAGAAATGCCTAAGTCCTGGCTCTGCCATCACTCAAAGCCATTGGCACTTCCAGAACCAGAAGATTCCTCTACTACATAGGACTTGGTTCCCCTTGACATTTATTCATTTTATGGGTTAGATTTAACAGCTTTTTTTCTCTCTCTCTCTTTCTGGGGAGTAAGGCCTATAAGGGAAGAATTAGTTCCAAATAAATGCAGTTACACAGTACGCAAACATACACTAGCTGAGTATCGACATGCTGCTGCCCAAGTGGTTTCCTGGTGGCTCTTAAAACATCAGAAGTGGTGAGCACCAGGAGAGGATTCATCTGCTTACAGGAATCTGGCCCTTTTCCTATGAACTACAAGACTGTACAAGCGTGACTGCGCCTAAACTCTCCCTAGCTAATCTCAGGTTTTACTGTATAGTACCCTGCTATCCCAGCAACATCTTTCAAAGATGTAAAAACATCTAGTACCCGCATTTTAATGCCACAAAGATACTTTCATGCAGTGCTGCCAGAAGAAGCATCTGCTTGAGCAAACCTTCCAGCAGAGCAATCTGCAGGACACTGAGCATCACTGAAGCAAATACCTCAGCCATGCTGAAGGCTCTGACCCCAGAGAGTGCCAACCTCTGAGAGTTGGCACTGCTGGAGACTGGTATTCATGACTCCTCTTCACACTGGTTTGGCCTGGGGTCTCTAAAACTGGAAGCTGAAGTAACAGGCAAAGGAAAAAAATAAATCAGCTAAATATTTCTCATGTCTGGAATGTGGGAGGTTGAGGGGTTCCCATGTCACATGGGGTATCTCTGCCATCAGGCAGAGAAGGGAAAAGAAGGTCAAAGGAGAGGGACTTTGTGTCTGGAAAACACAGAGGAAACTGCTGTCAAATACTTTGAATTTCTTCTCCCTCTTTTCTTTTTTTTTGTGTGTTTTTTTCTTTTTTTTTTGGGGGGGTGTTGTTTGTGTTTATTTGTTTGGTTTTGTTGCTCTTTTTTGAACTGAGATCAGCCTTCAGCAAGGGATTGGGAGCAAGAAGCTGTTGGGATCTTGCTTCTGTTTTGCAGGCAGTAGCTCCTTTGAATTCATGGTCTTGTCACATAAATTAGGGAGATAAGAATGATCATATTTAATAAGAACAGGAGCTCAGCATCTCATCTCTGACAGAGGTCAGTAATAAATGCTTTGGAAACAAGTACCAGAAAGGGAGGAGTAGTTGTCCCACACCCAGTCACCTTCTAGCCCACAGTGGTTTAGGATCTTCAGAAGGCAGATGCTGTACCCATGGCAGCTTCTGCAGTCAACAGGCACTGTCTGTGCTGGTTTCCATAAGTATGTTTAATCCTATCCTTTGAAAGCTTTAGCCACCACAGCATCAACAGTGAAGTGTCCCACAGTGCCATGGAGCCTGTTAGAAAAGTAGTGGCTTTTGCTTCTTCTAACCTTGCTGTTGAGCAATTTTTTTAGGTACCATGTAGTCCTGATTTTATGGGCTAAAGTGAATAACAGCTCCATGTTCACTTCATAACTACCGAGGGCTCAGTCCATGTCCCATCCTTGCTAGCTTCTTTCCAACAAGCGTCTTCTTTTTTTTGAACTGCCTTTTTTTTTTTTTTTAAACCAAACATTACATTTTGTACAAATACTTTGCTACAGCAGGGAAAGTACTTGATTTTGGAAGAGTCATTTTAATACAGACAGCACAAATGTTTATAAATACATACCTGCACACAGACAGGGCGCTTGTCAAAACACATTCGAAGGATACCTAGGTTCTTTCATGTCTTACATACTCAGAGTGAAAATAACCAGCTATATTTAACCCAGATCCAAGCCCAGACTAAATTATTTTAAAGGTCAATTAAAGAACAGAAAATCTCACTAGCTAAGAGATAAAAAGCTCCCATTAATCTGCAATTCCAAGAGCTTTAACAGAACTAACACACAGAATGAGAAAGTGCAATTAAGTACAATTTCATATAAAAATCACTGACAACCCCAGCTTTCTATACCTGCCAAGACCTGCATTCAGATGACTGCATTTGGCCTACAGCAGTTGATGGAAACTCCATCACTCACTGCGCTGATGTAGTTGTTTGGAAACCAGAGGCTCTTGGCAGGGAAAATACATTTCAGCTTCTGTTGAATGACTGCACATATGACGAGCAGAAAATGAGATAGACCCATAGCCTGTGCTCAAACTTGGATTATGTTTTGGCTGGTGCTTAAAGTTCAGGTCTGAGGCCAAGTGAAGGCTAGAATTTAGCCTGCAACATAATCCTGAAATCACATGGACTCTTCTTCTCAGGTATTGGACTCAGTGACAGAGACCTGGGGTATTTTCTCCCTTGTGATTGCGAATCCGTCAGTTTGGCAGGCGCCACTGTGCTTGCTTCATTCCTTTTCTTTGACCCTACGTGAGTCAGTTCTGAAAAACTCTTATTTGACCACAAATGGAAAAGAAAGAAAAAAACCCAAGGCAAAACCCACAGATCAAATCTGTAGGATGGGTTTGAACCATAGTTCAGTTTTCTATCCCAACAGCCTGCATGATCTCAGCTCAGAGATCTCGGTGCAGCCCCACAACAGCCACAAACAGCCAAAGGAAGCACTTGCGGAGCTGAGACCCCAATGCAATCACCCAACCTGAGCCAGGCATGTGACAGCAGTCCAACTGGAAGAGCAATGAATGCAGTGAGCCAAATCCCTGAAGAACCACCAGGATTTGTTCTCTCTGGCTGCTTGGAAAAGCTATTTCCAGAACTTAACTCAACACCTTCCTTCAACCTCAGAACAACTCCTTGGGTAAACATAATCACCTTCCAGGTTTGAGCCTTACACAGAAAGAGATCAGTCCACATAGGAATGATATTTAGCACAGGTCACAGCTTAAAATGCCATCAAAAATATCTGTAAGGTCATTCATGTTTCAGCTTTGTCAACAGCCCTAAGGTGAGGACACCTCAGTGTGTCCGCTCAAGGTGTGGATTTGTGATGTGCACCAGAACATTTGTGCAATAAACAGAAATGATAGCCCAGCTCTGTTTATTGTGTAGTCTGCAATTCCTTAATGTGTCCAACACACTGAGAGCCCGTTTGAAAAGCAGTGATGGAAAACTTGGAAAGCAAATTGAAGTGAAGAAAAGCCTTTGGTGTAATTTTACAGTGTGTGAAAGACTTAAAGCAAGAAACACAACCAGATGCCACAAGGAAACTACTTTCAATTAGTTCTGCTTTGTGCTATACCTACTGATGAAAAATAAAAACAAATTCATTCTGTCAACAGCTCTATCTATAGCATAATCCTTAAATGAACTCATCCGTCAAACTGGTCTCCTCTGGCAAAACATATTACAGTCCCTGTTTCTCAGCTGTGTGAATCAATCAGCTGTTTCCCAAACCCATTGGTCAACATCTTAGGAACCCAATATATTTTTGCTGTGCTAAACAAGCCAGTTGCAAGGCACCAGCTTCACTACATCACCTATGTACCAGGTGTTCACCTATTAGCAAACTGCAATTTCAGGGGAGCTATCACCCCCATCAAGGTTACATTGTAAATGCACCTGCCCTGGAATGAAAGCAAACCTCTACCTTCTTGCCCCAGCGGTATATATATAGGATGTGCTGCTGCTCATGAGTGGACAAAGCAAGAGCACCAAAGCACAAACCAGTTTTTTTTCTAGGTGCACAGTTCGGAAAGTGATGTTTGAACTAGAAGATACAGGGGAATATATGTGCATTTTTAAGACAGAACTAATGGTTCACAAAGTTGCAGCAGAACCACCCCACCAAACATCACAGACATCACTAGTAGTATTCCATAGCATTTGCAACAGTTCTCAGTGAGGTATGTTCCCCATCCTTGACACAGGACAGCTTTGAAGAGGAGTCTCTTCCAGGGCTCTGAAGGCTGCCACAGTCTAAGAGCACATTCAAAGGGATCCTGTGAGAGACTTACTCTCATTCCCATGTTATTTATAGGAATATACAGATACAGCCACCCTCCATCCTGGATGCACAAAGGGATGTAGGTGTGCAGGTTTCCAAGGGTTTGGGTGCCTAATCTCTCATGCCAGTCTCAGAGGTGGAATTGGGCACACTGAGATGAAACGTGCTGTGCTCTGCATGAGCCACATCAGGACGGAATAGGCAGAGAACAACTTTAGTCACAACCACCAAAGGCTGAAACATGCCTCAAAGTCGTCCTGGAAAAACTGTTTCCCACCAAGACTCACTCATGCTGCGAACAGACATTTATGCAGTTGTTGCCCCTGGGTTCACAGTATTGGATAATAGAAAAAAAACAACCCAAAACTACTGAAAGCATAATACAGACCTGAGTGTTTCTTGCAGATATATTGGCTTAGACAGGCAAACTGCACAGTGGTTTTACCTGAGGCCACTTCATGAAACCTTATTACTTAGTTGTTCTTTAATAAAATGAAACCTTTTTATGAAATTTACTGGGAATCCCTCAAAATAATTTATGACACAGTGTAGACATCCAAGGACTTTTGAGCAAGGCAGACATATCAAGGACATCCTGGTCCTACTGTCCCATCAGTGGTACCAGCTACTCTTAGCATCACAGAAGCAGCAATATCTAACTGATAGTATACTGGTTCAAGATAAATTTTCATCACCTCCCATGGATTTCAGTTATGTGGGATATTTGGGAAATTTTGCTTCTGGTTTCGAAATTTTTAAATGTAATTCTTTATAAAAATACAAACCTTTCAGGAAGATCGAGGTAACATTTCCTCAAGTCCTAGGGTGCGAGCAGAACAGCACAAAACCCTTCTCACCAGCAAGCAGGTCTTGTAGAGGTCTTTTATGGATGGACTTGGATCAACACAGAAAATGTGCAGGCAAGTACCTCTGAAATCACTGCAGGAGCTGACCAAGTTATGAGGCTTGGAAGAGGAGAGGAGAGGAGAGGAGAAGAGGAGAAGAGGAGAAGAGGAGAAGAAGAGGAGAAGAGGAGAAGAGGAGAAGAGGAGAAGAGGAGAAGAGGAGAGAAGAGAAGAGAAGAGAAGAGAAGAGAAGAGAAGAGAAGAGAAGAGAAGAGAAGAGAAGAGAAGAGAAGAGAAGAGAAGACCCAAAATATTTTATTCACATTTTTAACGTCAGCACTTATTGGAAGGCTGGGCTACCAGCAGGTTGGAGAAAAGCAAGGTATATGCACAGTGTGGCAACCTCTTCCAGGACGAACACTGACCATGGCCAGACCCAAGAGGATGCGGGATCCTTTCAGCAGGTACTATGTCTCCACTGCAGGGGAACACTGAAGTGACCCTCTGGTGCATATAGATATCAACAAATCCCACTGTATAAAGTGGCAGAGGCAACATGACTCATGGTCTGGTATGGATTTTGACAGCTCAGATATTTCTGCCTAGGGCTGTCAGGCCTGGCCAGTCTCAGCATTGGGCTTGGCAGCTTGAGGAGGAGGAAGGGATG